TTTCTTCAATTTTCAGTCTGTTGCTCAAGTTAACTTAATAATGATAAGTTTTAAACACTGTTTCAACTCCATTGAAATTTAAAATTAATTGGCACTTGTTTCTGTAAAATCATTTATGAATGTTTAAAACTATTCACTTAGTATCAATTATTTTGATTATACGACTTTAAATTGCTTATCAAAAAGACCTATCAGTTAGAAAACTTTTCTATTGTATTTGAAGAGAAAGTTTGATTTTACGCTGATTTTTGATATATCTCACTATAAAGGAGGAGATTATTATAATGGCGACAAAAATTAAGAGAACATCAAAGAATATAATTACAACTATCCTTCGAAATATCTTGATCTTAGGCTTATTCTTGAAGTATTCTTAGACAGAATTTATAGTTTATTAAAATAAAAATTTCAACTCTAGAAGGTGATGATTAGAATATAATGCCACAGTCAAAAGAAACTGGCCGTCTACAAATTCCCACCCAGCTTTGATGTTCGCTCTACAAAAAAACAATCGACAAAAACACGAGAACTGTTTCATAATTGGCACAATAGATGGCATATCGCAGAAAGACCATTCAAACCAATAGTTTTTATCTTTTTGTGATTAATATTTTTGTTCAGCTATTTTTTAAACAGTTCATCTCCGAGTCGCTTTTTATGTTTCATAGTTTGGACGTGTGATTCGGAATAAGACGTGAGTGGAGCGGATCTCATTTTTTTAATGAACTTTGAATGTTAAGATGATTGCCCCAAAATATAACAACATTAATATTAATTTATGCTTGTGATTTGAAGAATAGACCGTGCTTCAAATATGTATTATAAGTAAGTTTCCCTTATTTCATTTTATAGGACTTGTAAATTATTTGCAACTGTTACTTTCTTTAACATTTTTTCAAATTTTCTAAAACCTTTTTCGTGATTATTATTGCCCTGCGTGTTTATAACAAGATGCAAAATAATTTCCATCCCTAAAAAATTTAATATCTACTCCATTCATTAGGACATAGTTTTCAACGACCTTTTTTTAAATTTTTGAACAACGCCTATAGTGATAATGCTTGCTACCTGAGCGTGGGTGCCTCGGGACAGGGCACGTGAAATATTGCAGACCAACCCCTGTCACATATCTTGCTTATAAAACGTTAAAGATATGGCTGATTAAGAGAGAGATTATACGAAACTATTGCAAACGTGAGCGAGACGGAAAACGTAAAAGAAGCATAAGTAATTGGTCTGATTAGATTTCAAGGATTTTAATTTAGTGAATCACGCGGCCTGCGTAGATTCATAATTTATAATTTTGTACGCTGTCGGTTTTGTGAAAAATGGAATTTCTTATTCTATGCTATGTTTACCCTTCTCGGCTGTGGGTCATTGTTGATCGGTCGAAATAATATTATTGGTAGCCGTGACTGTCAACACAGACGCGATAAAAACCTTAAGAAAGAAATATTTCGCACTTTAAGAACTTCCTGTAGGAAGTTGGGCTTTTTATCGAGAATACCATTATCATTTTAGGTTATAAATAACCTTGTCCATGTATGTTTTTCAGTTTCGTTGATTTAGAACCCATGCGACAAATCGTATTAGGTCTATGCGTTCAACAGGAAATAAAAATGTATTAAGGAATTATCAAAGTAATGATGGGAAAATTGGATTTGTAGGGGGAGGGGACACATCTGTTGGTAACAATCATTTCGCTATTTTGGCGAATACAGGTAATCCACTCGTTTGTCACGTATTATTATCTAGGTAAACCTCGGTTAAAAATTGAAGATTACCTTAATCGCTAATAAGCTTTTATTAATGGTACTCATTGTTTGTTTTATTTCTATTAAAATGCTTGCTGCTTAATAATATTTTCTTAGTCTTTTTTTCATATTTTAATTTAAATCCGAAGGTAACTGTTTTATTGGAGTGATATCGTAGAGCTTTCTTTACCTCAGCTTAACAATGAAACTTCGTAGTCCCTCGGTATTTATGTATCAAAGTTTATTGCAAAATCTTTGAAATGTTGATTAAACAACTAATTAAAGTTAATAATAAACTCAGAGTAATAAGTTTGAATTATTAATGTGGTTAAAATAAATACAGACAAAGATTACAAATGATATCTCTCTTGAACGTAATAACTCGTTTGTTTTATCTTATCCATACTTTATATGCCTGATAAAGTTAACTCACTATATTCCATAACTAGCTATTCCCGTGCGACTTCATCCGCAAGAAATTATGAAAACTTTATTTTATTGTTTACATTTGACAAATTATCAATTACAAATGTCAAAATGACATGACATGACAAACGTTAGCAATCTTGCTTCCTTGATGTTGCCAGCAACTTATGGTATCCCACATTAGGGTTATATCAAAAATATTTACCCCCTAAGTTTAATGGCGTTAAAATATATAGCCTAAAGCATAACGTAAGTGTAGGGCTTTTAATTAAACATAGAATTATTCAAAAATATGCTGTAATTGCTGACATCTTAGGCAACAAAGAAGTGTGTGTTTACGCTTTATTATAATAGTATAGATAAGTGTAAAAGAACATTTAGATTTCGAATTGTATTTCGAAAAGTCCTATTAAAGTAATAGCACCGTTGAGTGAAATAAAATTTCTTTGTTAAAAATAAAAACTTGTAATATTGCTTTTATATTCTAAATAAAAAGCCTTTTTTTATAGTTTTGGTTTTCAATACTAGTATTTGATATCATTGTCCCTTTAACGTTAAGGTCAGACAGTATGCTTTATTGTAATAGACTTTTAAGAAAATGAAAGCTCTCAAAAGATACATAAAGCTTAAAATAAATGTTGTTAACCTTCATGTTCTTATAGGTTGCTCCCTCAGGACTCTCTTTTAAATATGATAACGGTCAAATGATGCATTACATATTTCTTTCTCTTTTGGTTTTGGGTCTTGGTAATCTTAATTCAAACATTTTAACAATTGAATTTTTATTTTCTTATTTTAATGAAACAAAAGAACTTATATATTTATAACATTTATATAATTAAGGTTGTTTTGATAGTAGTAAAGATGAGACAGAGTGTTTGGGATGTGCGATCATTGTGATAATCGGGTAATAAATACCGCTTTGCATTCTATATGTAATCTTTTGCTGACTTATTTTTGGTTTTCATTATTTTTATATAGCGTAAGATATTAAAAATTATCTTTTTTGTTTATAATCTCGATCAAACCTAAATTGTTAAAATGTTTATATAACAATCCGTATCTTGAATATAATTGCAGTAACATATTTAATAGGATAAATTTATATGATCAAACGCAATTAAGATTGTAAAAGTCATTTCACACAGTCCGTTGCGAATCGATTATTTTACAGCCATTATAATTTGATTGCCAGGGATTATTTTAATCGATGTCTCAACCTACGCACTTCTCGATGACGTATCGATGCGTAGGTAAAAGATGCCCCTACGGCGAATATAAGCGAAAACGATACGTCATTATTCATTTTGAGACTGACAGATTGTGATGTGAAACACTCCGGTGTAATAACTTTAACACGCTTCGTCTCCTTGATAGATGTTTTTTAAGACAACAAAATGTTAACATGTGTTTTCGGGAAGTGTTCGGAGGAATGTAATTATTTCAACGGCTTTTTACATAATGTCTGTTTGTAGTAGATGTATCATTCTCTGGAATAACGTAAGACTCTATATGTAGTAAAGTACAGCGAAATACTGTCCATAAATATTTAAAATGCGATCTTAATTACTTACGACCGTCATTTCTTCGACGATGTTGGAATACTTTGTAAATAATCCGCGAATTTGTCTTATGTTAGATATTATAAAGTAACCTTGTAAAACACATTTTATGCATAGAAAAATAAATTAAATAATTAAGTATAGAATCTGTTTCACAGTCAAAGTTATTTCAGATGTCTATAACTTTTTCGTCAAGAATGAATGTGACAAAAGAAAAATAAGGAAACCGGCAAGACATCTATCTTTTCATAGTCAACTTAACTAAAAGGATTAAAATGATATCTTCCGTCTAACATCCAGTGTGGTCCGTCGAGCGTGAACACAGACCTCCTTTGTTAAAGCATTCACCGATTCTGTTACCTTAAAACCTTAATACCTTTATTCCATAACTAAATTTTAATTTTGCCATTCGAAATTTAAAAGGGTTGATTTTTAATCTCACTTTCCTTGAGCTTTGAGCGTAAGGATTTCTTTTGTAATATTTGAAAGTGTTATTCAGCTGGCGATAAATTCTTTTTGATTTATATTAAAAAATCTTATGTATCTTAAATGGGTTTATGAGCTTCATTTTTATCCTATTATATTTTGAGTTTTGTTACGTGAATTATGGTCGGAATGTAGATGCAGAACTCTTTGTGTGATGAATTTAATTTTTAGATTGATGTTTTAAACAGTCCAGAACCTGAAAAAATAAAGCATCGTTCATTTCCAATCTTTACCCAAAGTTCGTATTATGTTATTCAATAATCGAATACGCTCAAACAAAAATTTAGTTAGCTATCATATTTACACATTTCTATGTTATACTATGTATAATTATAGATAACTTAAAAACGACGAAAATTGGTGACTTTCACAAGAATTTCAAATTGTAATACACATGATAACAAACCTTCGAATCTAACTTACTCTTATTTAGTTAATCATAGTTGATTTGCCCTAGTATTTTTTTACTGTACAGGTATGCGACAAAAACACAAGTGTGTTATTAATTAATTTTAATGATTACTTTTCTTAACGTTACTATATGTTTGTAAATTTTCTGACCCAGCTTCTAAGGGCATCTATCTAAGTTCATTCAAAGCTCACAGATTAGAATGGGTACGGATATTTTAAAGCTCCAAAAAAATAATTTATTGTAATAAATCGTCGTGAACATTCGCCGTCGTTCGGCCTATCTCACCCGCACCCCACTTCCCGCCGCTCCGACGAGCGTGTATTCTACGCGACTGCAATGCCTCTGCCAGCATTCAGTTTACTTGCCGCAGCGTCGGGGGTCGGTCGTGCCGCTCGACGCTTTGAACGGTCGAACGATTTCGTAAAGACGCGCTTATCAATACGTATTTTAACAACGAGCTTCGACGAACTTTAATACGTGAATAAAGTTTTATAAATCTGCAAGTTTTGATTTAGAACTGAAATCGGAACTGTTGTGATTCAAGAATTTTAAAAATATGTGTTGTTATGTGACATAAATCGGTTACGTTATCGTGAACTATATAAAAACTGTGGTGAATTAACAAATCATGTGCTATAAAATACTAAGGACTATTTAATAAATTGACGACGAAATAAGACATCTAAATTGATGGATATTACACATCCGGCAAGGGGACGCATCACACGAATGCCGACGGAAAAAACATGACACTGAGCTTACCGTGTCTTGTTTTCCTTCTTGATATTTGATTTTTATCACGATGTCTCTCCAGCGAGTATCTCCAAGAAACGGGCTTTTTGGCCATGTATTATTTTGGTTTGTTATTGGACTCAACTTCGCAGATCAAAGTTCACTGCCATTAAAATATGAAGCCCCTGATGATTGCCAATGGTGGCTGAGAGGACCAAATGATGCCCACGAAGTTTCGCTAACTTGTAAACTTCGCACGATTAATAGTGAATTTGACACAACTAACTTTAGTGTTATCCCTTCAGAGCACACAACATCATTGAGAATAGAGTGCAACGAAGAAATGATGTACAAAAGCTCCCTAGATGACAGAAGTTTTTCTCATTTAGTGAAATTGCGTGAACTCGTTTTGGATAACTGTAAAATTGGACGATGGCCGCCTGGCGTGCTGTCCGGCCTAAGAGATCTCCGAAATTTAACGATTCGAACGAAAAACACCGAGTGGGCCGCTATGAGCTTAGAGATAGCATCGGAAAGCTTTACAGCTGTTCGGCAGTTGGAAAAACTTGACCTTAGTTTTAATAATATATGGTCATTCCCTGAAAATTTGTTTTGTCCACTGACAAATTTAGTGTACTTGAACGTATCTGCAAACCGCCTTCAGGATGTAAGCGATTTGGGCTTCAGAGAACGTGCAATACATCAAGCCCTGATAAGTGAACAAGACGAACCATCACCTTCAGCGTCTTCTTTATCACGTGCTTCATGTTCTTTAGATATTGAAGTCCTAGATGCTTCGAGTAATCATTTTGTGTTGATGCCAGAAAATGGATTTGTGGCTCTTCGAAGGCTAAAGGAATTACACATTCATGATAATGAGATTTCAATGGTTGCTGACAAAGCGTTGGCTGGATTAAAACAATTACAAATTATCGACCTGTCCAACAATAAAATCGTTGCTCTGCCTCAAGATTTATTCAAAGATTGTCGTCCCGGCATAAAAGAAATATACTTACAAAATAATTCTATAAGTGTTCTTTCACCGAGTCTCTTCGCTAACTTGGATCAATTGTTAGCTTTGGATTTATCAAACAATCATTTAACAAGTACGTGGATAAATGAGAACACGTTTACTGGCCTTATAAGGATGGTATTGTTAAACTTGTCTAACAATAGATTAACGAAGTTGGACCCAAAAATATTTAAAGATCTTTACACTTTACAAATCTTAAATATTCAGCATAACATGCTAGAGAGTATAGCCGCAGACACGTTTGCACCTATGAATAATTTGCATACGCTAATTTTATCTTATAATAAAATAAATCACATTGATGCTTATGCCTTAAACGGATTATACGTGCTGTCTTTACTGTCAATAGATAATAATCATCTTGAAGAGCTTCATCCTGAGGCATTTCGAAACACCTCTTCATTACAAGATCTGAATTTAAATGGCAATCGTTTGAAGAGAGTCCCGATTGCACTAAGAAACATGCGACTGCTTCGAACTCTCGATCTTGGCGAAAATCAATTAACATCACTGGAAGAACATAGTTTCGTTGGTTTACACAATGTTTACGGATTGCGGTTAATTGGAAACAAAATAGAAAACATAAGTAAAGAAGTATTTTCGGATTTACCAACTCTGCAAATTTTAAATTTGGCCCGAAATAAACTAAAACACATCGACACGAATGCCTTTGAAACATTATCTAATTTACAAGCTATAAGATTGGATGCGAACCACTTAAAAGACATACAAGGTTTGTTTGTAAATATACCTTCTTTGTTGTGGTTAAACGTGTCAGATAACCAAATAGAATGGTTTGACTACTCTGTAATCCCAACAGCACTACAGTGGCTAGACCTACACAGTAATAATATCAAAGAATTAGGTAACAATTACCGCCTGGATAAAGAGCTGCGTTTACAAACTTTAGATGCGAGCTTTAATAAAATGACGAAAATATCTGCCTACTCCGTGCCCAGTAGCGTCGAACTGCTGTTTCTAAATGATAATCAAATTACGCAAGTTGAAGCTCAAACTTTCGTCGGAAAAACCAATTTAACGAGAGTCGATTTGTATGCAAATCAGATAACTAGTATGGATCTCAATGCGCTTCGGCTAACGCCGGTCGATCCGGGGCGACCCCTGCCCGAATTTTATATTGGAGGAAATCCTTTTCAGTGCGATTGTACAATGGAATGGCTACAGCGAATCAACAAACTCGATCACCTTAGGCAGCACCCTAGAGTAATGGACTTGGAAAGCATTTATTGTAAATTGTTGTATAATCGAGAAAGGACTTATATTCCACTTATCGAGGCGGAATCGTCTCAGTTTTTATGTACATACAAAACTCATTGTTTTACATTGTGCCATTGTTGCGATTTTGATGCCTGTGACTGTGAAATGACGTGCCCATCTAACTGTACGTGCTACCATGACCAGCCCTGGTCGGCAAATATTGTAGACTGTTCTGCCGCAGGGTATGCAGAAATACCTAACAGTATACCTATGGACGCTACCGAATTGTACCTTGACGGTAATAACTTTGGCGGCCTAACAAGTCATGCATTCATCGGACGGAAAAATTTAAAAATATTGTACGCCAACAATTCTAACATTGATGCTTTGTACAATAATACATTTAGTGGACTAAAACGTTTGACGGTCTTGCATTTGGAAAAGAACAACATAAAAGAGTTACTCGGTTTCGAACTATCGCCTCTAGAGAATTTGCGAGAGCTGCATTTGCAGGATAATAAAATACATTACATTGACAATCGAACCTTTATGGAATTGAGGCATTTGGAAGTGCTGCGATTGGAGGGAAATAAAATTTACAGCTTTGCTGTTTGGCAATTCACAATGAATCCTTATTTGGTTGAAATAAGTTTATCACGCAACGCTTGGTCGTGTGATTGTCACTATCTACATAAATTCAGAAATTGGTTTAAAAATAATTTGGGTAAAGTCGAAGATGCTGATAAAATTACGTGCATATTTGATAACGTAACCAACACAATAGGCCCCCTCATGGCCGATTTCAACTCCACCATATGCACAAGTCACGTCGGAGGAAGTTCGTCGATTATTGAAAATCAAGTCATAAATGATTATCTTCCATTGTTGCTAATATCTTTGTGCGTGTTTGTTTTGAGTTCCGCCCTAATATGTGGCTTATTTTATTGGCGGCGAGAGCTACGAGTCTGGGTGTACTACCACTGTGGATTCCGAATGTGTTACAAAAGCACTGCATTCGACGAAGAAGCCGACAAGGACCGTCTATTTGACGCTTACATCAGTTACAGCGTTAAAGACGAGGCGTTTGTTGCTCAAATGTTAGCGCCCGGCCTGGAATCAACCGATCCGAGCTTTCGGCTGTGTTTACACTATCGCGACTTTAATGCCTCAGCCTATGTCGCAGATACAATAATAGAGGCAGTCGAGTCGTCGAAAAGAACCATAATAGTGCTATCAAAAAATTTCATTAATAACGAATGGTGCCGGTTCGAATTTAAAACGGCCCTACATGAGGTGTTGAAAGAGAGACGAAGAAGACTGATAATCATATTGCTCGGTGAGCTCCCGAACAGGGATATAGATCCCGAGCTTAGACTGTGTTTAAAAGCTAATACGTGTATAGAGTGGGGTGATAGACAATTTTGGCAAAAGTTAAGGTTCGCGATGCCGGACTTGAGGAAGTGTCAATATCATCGGTCCACTGTGAACATTTACGCGTCGGTGTCACCAGTGGGGGCGGGGCGAGCGCCGGCGCCGCCGCCGCCACCACCGCCTGGCAAGCTGCCGCCGCTGCTAGGCGAGGCTCTGGCGGTGCCGGCCGGCGTGCACGCACGCGAGCCCCACTCGCACCGCCTGCCGCCGCACGCGCAGCTATGGGCGTAGCGTATGCTTCAACGCAGGTAAACTCCAGTTCTTACTGCAACGCGCAAGCGTATTAGTCCGACTAAAAGTGATAATAAGTTAAGTTGTTTCATAATCTGTATTTATTGTGTACATATTTTATAATAAGATCGCATTTATTTGTAAATTAGGTTGCTACTTTTTTTTAATTTATGTTTTTGATTCCTTCTTTCTGCGATAATATTTTAGACTGTATGATACAAAATGCTGTAAATATTATAGTACATCTTTTGTAACATGTATAATTGGGTCGCTTAAATTATGAAATGCCAAAGTTTTAAACTTTTTTTAATTATTTGTATAGATGCATTTATCTAGCCTACGAGTTAATAACAATAACTTTATGAAGACTGTAAATATTTTATTGATAAAGATTACATGAGTTTGTAAATGTCTGTAAATATCGAAAGAAAATATTATCAAATGAAAAATTGAAATATACACACTTTGAAATTTTATTTCCTTTTGTTTTATTTCTTTTATTTCCATCATTTTTCTTTTTTTTAATATCATAGGGGTAAAGTTATAAAGTCGAAATTAGCTTCAATAGGTAAGTTTTTTTTCTGTTGCTTATGATTTCTTAACACAATAATGAAGTAAAATTATTCTTATCACTTTAAAGCCACTTTATCAAAAATGTAACAAAAGTTATTAAAAACCTAAAAATGATTTAAAAATGTCACTCTTTTAAATGGAACTTTTTAACGTATAAAATATCACACCACACAATATCAATACAAAACTCACAATATCCAGTTCGCATGGCTCGACGGACTGCGACGGCGACGGCGGCCGCTCATCAACTCATGAAACTGCTATTATCTGAACGCGGACAAATCAAAACGAAATCAACATCGTTTATTTTTGCCATTCGCACCCTTATCAAAAACGACGTCGACGGGCCAACATAGGAATAATGGGAAAACTTGTTTTTACGAGACCCGCAGCGAAAGCGGGGCGGTCTGTCGTATGATTTTATCGGATTTCTATATATTTACTCCTCAGCTATTTATGAATTGAGATAGATAAGTTATTGGTGAGAGATTAGAGCGAGATTCCGGCTGCGGTCGGGAACATGTATACCTATTCGTAGATTGATCTAACATTCATAGCCGAACTTCAGTAGTTTATACATCAAGTTTCTTACGTTTTATAGACACGTCCATAACTAAAATGACTCAGCTACATTTGTAATACTTTGGATCGAAAGTAAAACAGTATTTATCACATTTGTTACCTAGTGAACATTAACCTAAAATGTTTATTGTATGAAATTAATTAAAAACAGAAGTTATTAATATACTTAAATCCGTTGAGAATCTATATAATAAAGCGTAAACACACACTTCTTTGTTGCCTAAGATGTCAGCAATTACCTATAGCATATTTTTTAATAATTACTTTTTTATTAAAAAGCTCTACACGCTTTAGGCTATATTTTTTCAAGCAATTAAACTTAGGGGGTAAATATTTTGGATAAAAACCCTTACGCAGGAAAGAGACCATAAGTTTTGCCAACATCAAGGCGCAAGATTGGCAAGGTTTGTCATGTCATGTCATTTTGACATTTTGACAAATGTAAAAAATAAAATAAAATTTTCATAATTTAATGTAGATGAAGCCTTACGGGACAACTAGTTAATGAATATATTTTAAATTGAACTGAAATAATAAGTTACAAAATTCTTCTATTGAAAGTAAATTTTATTTATCAGCTGGTTACTTGTAAAAGTGTGCCTTGTAAAGTCTTTTAATTAAATCTTCTTATATTAGTACATAAACTAATTAAGGTAACTAATCTTACTTTGCAAACAAAATTTCTACTAATAAACATTTTACAAAATGGTTCCTATAAGAATTAGGTAAGTTTAATATTAAAAGCTCTGCGCTCTGTGAGAAACTTATGCGTTCTGGGTATAACTTCGATGAATTCTGAAATTTCAAATATACGGACAATACAAAATCAGATCGAGATTCTTTTAAACGCAAAACAAGTTCAATGATAAGTCAGCAAAATAGGCTGGAATTTCCACTATTAAATATCTTCTTTCACTGACTGGACATATTATACAAGTCCTCTCTCTCCTCATCGTTTCCTTCTGTGGTCCGCGATCACTCTCCTTGATAATCTCTCGAAGAGTCTAACTCAGTGAGATTCTCTGCGAAGGGTAGAAGCAGACACAGAGAAACGGCATGTACACATGTAAATAAATATTAAAGGCGGATTAGGCAATAATTTATATAGGCGTGAACATAACCACGGAAAGGACGAGAACGGGATAATGGAATTAGTTTTATAATTTAACTTACTTTATTGTTTAAAAGGGATGGAAACGCAGATAGTATTATCTGAAATAAAATTTAGTTTTGAACGTTTGTATGTTTGAAAAGTAATTACTGGGCCGCAAGCATATGCCAAACTTTAGAATTTAGTAATCGAGGGTCGGATTTTAAATGTCCTTTGTAAATTCGTGAATAATTAGCAGTTAGCTGTAGCAAGTAATTTCAAGCTACCCATTCGATCCTATTGATTATTAGATTTTAACTCAGTTTCGTTCGTTAGAATTTTATAAGTTCGTTAAAATTTTTGAGAATATCAAATTTTACATAAGTGCGAATGAAATAATGAACTAGATATATTTAATTACTGTTATTTTATTGCTACGAAGATTTCCAATAAAAACATGATGTAACAGAAAATTTGACACACATTACATGTATTAATTAAGTAACTACGTAAAATACTGTTAATGTATCGTTGTTAAAAAATAATCTAACAGATTTAAAATAATTTACATTTCGTCAATTACCAAAATAAAGCTAGTTCATTGAAAATATAAAAATGTTCCAATTGAATAGAATAATAATTTACTATTAATTTTATCTTAATAGTTATTTACTTGAAAACAAAACTAATAGGGATTACAAAAGGTCTAAGGTTTACTCAGGCTTCTGAACATTGGCTAAGTTAACAAAAGAGCCATCTGCTGGAAAACGCCATATGTCACTACAAAAGAAGCATGCGCAATTTAATAGCATCCTAATCTAAAAGCATCGGATCTCTTTGAATGCCGTCATATAAATACACATTATCGTTGAAAAAAAGGCATATTGTTATTCGATAATCCTTTACGTTCTCTCGAGATGTCACTGAGAAGATCAGCTTTCGTCTAGCCAACGGTATTGGGTTTGCGTAACTCAATACAAATCGTATAACAAACATATTACTGTAAATTGTACCTTAATTCTTATATTTAAAGTATATTTTATATTTAACTACATAAAAATGTCGACCACAGACCACAAAACAAGGACAATCGCGGACAAAAGCGACGTAATGTCCCATCCCTTAATCACATGCACCGTTGCTCTCGAAAAATATTTAGTAGTCCCAATAGAGAATCACTCGAACGCATCTATTTGTTCACAATTCTATTAGAGGGAACACAGCTTTATTTACGTATTTACAACTGGCCAACAACATATTTTCCAATTTGTTGTTGTAATGTAACCTCGTCCCGGATTATAAACATTCTAAATTTGAATACAAAGAATGTTGTCCGACGCTTCTCAGTAATGCACAGATTATGTTACTGTTAGTTTCAATTAAGTTTTCTTGTCCTGTTTTGTTTTTTAATGTCATTAGTTCAACTGAACCTTGTAAAGAATGTGGAGTCAGTGTTAAGAATTTTTGGTGAGCATTAAATAGCCGCGCCGACAGACCGTCATTATGGCGGGTTCATTTCTGTTATAGTTTCCAAACATAAGAGTTAAGCTTAGTTTGGCTTCGGTCTAATAATAGATGTCTCTTTTACCCTTTCCCAATACTGAAGTTAACATCATTGTTACTTTATTTTGAAATACCTATGTCTTTAAATACCAGTGTTCAATGCAGTAATTCAACGGAGTTCTCTAAAATATCAAATTGAAACTTTATAAAATGTGTACTAATGTTACACAAGCGGATTTTATGCTTTATCAAATCAGACCCCGCCAATCACATCCCTAGAGAACGTCATGACCTCCATTTGTAATAAACTTAAGCTTATGAATAGCATATTAGTAAGGGCCTATCCCAAAGGTCCGAGTATACGTTTGTGATAGCCCAAAGACAGCAGATTTCACATCTGAGTGCCAATAATTGACTATCAAACTTGATATATAGCTTTCTCAGCGGGTTGACGGAGATAGTCGGATAAAATATAGACGGCCGCGTTCCCGAAGGAGTGCGAGACGTTTCGTTAAAGCCTACGTAACTGATATTTATATGATAATCGAATGTACCAATTATCTTTGAATTTCATTGCCCTATGTTAGTGCACAGAATCCAATTTTTAATAACAAACATCCTGTGTAGAATAATTACTATTGCAGATTTGATTGCTAAAAATGTATTCAAATAAAGATAATGTTTAATGAAATATGATACAATTAATTATGCTTTAAGTATACATTTTCTTAAATTATACACCTTCATTTGTAAATCATGATACTGTTTTCAATAGTGTGTATGAAAATACACATACTTCGATATCTCCCTGAGTTCACAGCGACTATTTTAGAACTATAAATTTCACCGAGTTGGCATCGAATCGAACACTGCCTATAAGGTGACCATATATTCTGCGTCTACAATTGAAGCTTACGGGCGCTCGTCTATAACGGCAGTACAATGACCTGAATATATTCCAAAAATAACACAAAAATAATATTAAGAAAAGAAACCAGTCATTTCGAGTAGCAGTGTTGACATCTGCTAGATCATTAGCGCATTTACAGAATGAAATTAAAAAAAAACTCAACAGGCGACGACAAAAGCTCATTAATTTTAGTTTGTCATAGTTCTACTAATTTGTAAAATTTACAGCGGCATACTAATGGCACTGTATCCGGCTACATATCACCGTAATATTAAATCCCTTTGAGTTTTTGTCGCGGTTACGGGACCCGTGGACGTATTTATGTGTCGGTTAACAGCAATGAACGTTGGGGGGCAACC